AGGCACAGATGAACATAACATTTCTGGTGTTGATATAGGTCGACAATTTGTTAGAGGAATAGGCCATTCTTTTCTTAAGTGTGTGGGTGGAAGTGGTGCTGGCATTTAGATGTGTGCATTATAATAGAGTTATCATTGTGTTATAATATACAGTGCACTTTGCTTGTCCAATGTGTTCAATAAACAAAGCTGAAAAGAAAAAACTCTTTCTATGCATTTTATGGAGTTTTATTGTCAGCTAAACATGGCACTAGTCAAAGTTGTGATCAGAGCTACAAAATGCTGGAAAGGAAAATCATGCAGTTGAAACATAGCAATAATGTTATGTGATACACTGATAAGAGTAGACGCCATTGATACTTTGCAGCTGATATCATCAACATTCCCTGGGGGTGTGATGCCAACTGTAGGCATGCCCTGTCTGAGGCTTTATTTTTTTATTTTTGACCTTTATTTTAACACAATCTGATCAGAAAGAGCTGAGTTAGCTGGAATTACAAGAGTCAAGATGATTTGTGCTGTTAAACAAGTCTCTAAAAATGACAGCCAACTGTTTTTGAGTTAGTCACTCTCACCCTTTTTGTTGAAAATCAAACTCCTAAACAGGACCATGAATATTCATATTGACCACAGGGTCCTGGAGATGTTCTGTTTAACTCCAGTTTGTATTTTTTCTTGAGTTTTCAGAGAATCTTAAAACATTTTTGGCAGTGTTTGCTAATGTGGGCATTATGTCTCCATGGTAACTGGTGACGTTCCACCAATGCACATTCATGTAAAACACCTCCAGTGTGATGTCCCTGCAAAGTGTCAATATCTGTATGTTTAAAGTTGCAGTATGTAACTTTTCAGGTGGAGGGTCTATCAGCTGCTGGTCACAAAGTCTTATTGCTTTGCCAAGAATGTTCCACGGTGTATGGTACAAAACATATCTATCTTGGATTTATTCATGTACTCGCATCAAACAATAACTTGACATTACATTAATTGCAAGTTTCTATGGAGATTAGATATGTTTTATGCCATACTCTAGACAAATCAATTACTCCATCTATCACCAATCTGTGTGGTGATAGATGGATCTTTAACTAGCATTGTAAAATGACAAGTAGACTAGAGAAAACTAGTATTGCATTTATTTCAAACTTATTTTGTATCCATGTTATTCTAAGTGGTTGGTAAAATAGTATTAAAAGAACTCACTTACATCCTCTAACATGTGTTGCGGTGAGGGCCCGGGTCGGAGCCAGGAAAAAGAGTGAGTGGGTGAGTGGAGGAGAGGGGCAAGCACGTGCCTCTTGAGGGCCCTCCGCTCTGGGTCTGGTCTCCCATCAGCTCCCTCTGCCATGGCACAGTCCGGCACACCACCCTGACCGCTGGATCTGACCACTGCGAGTACACAAAACGCTACACATGGACACTAGTCTCTATCAAGACCACTCGCTTTCGTCTGACTTCCAGGGCTCGGGCTTGGCTTGGACCAGTGGATCAGGCAGAAGATATTTGCTCATTTGTCCCCGCACTTGAATGTGGTTTGGTAACGTGCAAGAGCCAGCTGCTGCTTAAATCCAGTTCTCCTCTTCTGCAGTCAGGGCTTTTCAGGATAATGTCCACCCACAGTACAGATCTGGTTACACTTTAAATGAACTACAACTTAATTAGTCTTAATAAAGCATGAATAAAGACTTAATTTATAATCAACAAATAGTTTATTAAGAATGATTCAGGTTTAGTAAATGCTTAATTAAGGGGATTATATTTATAGGACTAGAAGTTAGGGTATTGATTAAGTACATACTAAACCTGAATCATTTGTTTATTATGAATTAAGTCTGCCTTCATGCTTTACTGATACTTTGCAGCTAGGGTGTGATGCTAACCGTAGGTTCTGCTCTGTTTGAGGGATTATTAGACTTTAATCTGTGCTTAATTTTACACAATCTGACCATGAAGAGATTATTTAGGTGGAACTACAACAAGTGATCTGATTTGTGCTGTTTAACAAGTCTCTCACACATAAAAGTCACAAGCCACCAATTTTTCATTTAATCACTCTCACCTTTGTTGAAAATCATTTAACCAACAGCAAACAACACCTAAACAAGACCGTGAACACTAGTATTGATCACAGGCTCTTGAAAATGTGTGGTTTAAATTAGAGATACACGTAGAACCGCCCTAGTGTGATGTCACTGCAAAGTATCAATTATTATTATCATAAAATGTTACCACAGATTCTGCATACTTCTTTAGTTATGTGAAGCATATATTTTTTATTATTTGATTGACTATGCAGAACAATCTGTCAAACTAAATTTTCACGTTTGGAAAGCCACAGTAGACTTTTTAACTTTAGGCATAAAAATCGATTTGTATGGAATTGTTACACTGATTTTAATGTTGTAATTTCAGGAGGAGAGCTGGGTCCTATATAACTCTAAAGGAGATTCATTGTTTTCGGAAGAAGAAGAAATTGGAAATCTCCCAATTCTGAGCCTTATCATTTTTTGACAGGGACTGGGTCTACAAATATGCCGCATTAAGTCCTAGCAACTGACAACAATTACTCCTTTTTTGTAATTGTTCCACCTTTTACCCTAATAAAACAAATGTAAATTCCATTTGTGCCTACAGCAAAAACACTGGACTTTGTGCCAATTTTGCAAGTGGGAAGGTCTAAATTACAGATATATTAACCCAGTTCAGGAGAAAACATTTGCATTTTGACAAATTCCATCATAAAATTCTTACAAACCCACCAATAAAGGTAACCTAGAATGTTATGACATCATGTAAAAATAAGACGATTTCTTATGCTTTCCCAAAATTACAATATTATCTATCCTTCCTCTCAACACTTGCACTTTCCCTTTATGTAAAAATATGAATGATGACTTTAATAAGGCAAGAATAACACAGATGTTGACTTGGGGTCACATAAGCTGACCCAGTTCAGCTGTGAGCCTGTGTGATGTGGGGTCCAGGGCTGGTGCAGAGTCCTGCTTTAAACCCATCCCAGTCCAGTTCCTCAGATCCCAGAGCATGGCCTTCTTTATATTGTCTTTGAAGCAGAAGAAGGCTTGGTCACGGTGGTGATTGCTGTTTTAGCTAGAGCCACTTACGGATATGTGTATGGTTTACTTTTGTCTGATGTGACCACTGTTGCATGGGAAGAGCTGGTTCAGTGACAACAGTAATTAGGAAAAGGTTTTTACTAAAATGAGGGTCCAGAACCACTGATCCAGGTTCCAAAACTGGCCCTCTGACCATCACTTAGAGAAAAATATTGTATGTATTTTAACATTATTGTATGTTTGTTTTATACTCTACCTCTATGTCCGTCTGCATTACTTTGAGAATATGTAGAAAACAAACCTGGTAAAGAGTAAAAATTAGTATTAAAGGGACAGTTTGGAATTTTGGACATAGGACCTCAATTCCCAGTGAGCTAGTGTTGGAGACATGTGGAGGCACATTTTAAAAATTCCATCCAGTCCTTGTATTGCAACGTATGAATTGTTGCACGTTGAGGGACTATTTTCTCATATACTGTATCAGTCTGCCACTGCCAAGCTTTCTATCAGGAAGTACAACTTGCTGCTGCTGCTCAGACATAAATCCTTCAAATACAAAATTATTTTATCGACACAGACATTTACATCAACAGTGTGGCGTAATAACAGAATTTGCTTTGGGTGCTTTGTGCAGTGGGTAAGACTGTTTTTAGTGACAGGGTAACTATGGCCATTGACCTGCGCTAGCCTAGCACCAGCGACCTCTGTAAATACAAGGACTGGATGGAATATTTAAAAACACTTTGACTCATTAGGAAATGAGGCCCTATGTCCAAAATCCTGAACTGTCCCTTTAAAGGACCTGTATCTATGATTTTTATTTTAAATTTTGTAAACTTGACCTACCCATGTCCCCAGATATAAGCTAAACTTTTTTTTACTGATAACTCTAATCCTGATTTATTCTTAATTACACATTTTATTTATGTTAAGATAATTATCCAATCAGAAAGCAGAATGAACTTCACATTAGTTTGCCTTGCCAGTTTCAGTGCTGAAATCCTGTTGGTTTAAATGTAAAAGGACTCTGATCTAAATCCTCTCTACCTAAACCCCAGCAGCCAAGCATGAATAAGTGCTAGTGCAGCCTTTGCAGGTCAGTGAGGGAATTCTGGAGGTTCTTTCACATGAGGCATGGTCTGTTCATACACTGAGAATGAGAAAAACTTTCATGTGTTCATCTGCAGGTTTAAACACTGGCCACCCAGGCTCAGTTGAGATTAAAACTGTTACTTTAACTGTTTTAACATTACTTTGTTAGGGGTTGAAATGCATTCTGTGTCTTATATTTAGTACTGGTTCCTTAGAAAGAAAAAAGTTTGCAGCCCACAACCACTACTATTACTACTACTACTATAGGCTAATAAATTCCAAGTTATAATACTTTTACTGTCAGTTATGTGCTTAAATAAATTATAACTTTACTAAAAATTTCGTTATTTCCACCCACTAGTCTAGTCTGTTACAAACCACAATGAACTGTTAACCTGCACACACAATGAAATACAGCCAACTGTGGGGGCCATTTTGTAATATTTGTCTGCTCTTTTGGCCTTCGACAAGAAATCAGAGAATGAAAAAAAATCAACAAAATGTTCAAAAAATCTCTATGGAAACAAGACATTCCACTGAGCCAAAGTCAACCACCTCTGATAGCCGTATTTGTGGCCCTGTTTGTCAGCTAATATTGACACATCCTATTTCCTGTCCTGAGTTATGACCTAATCCACAATATGGCTCACGTTTTGCTACTTTTGGGAACCTTTTGGCAACTGGCATCAATTTTAACCATAACCCAAAATAGCCAGCTCCGAAATGCTTAAAACAATAAAATGAAATTGCTTTAAACACTGGATAGGAAACTGGAAATAGATTTTAAATTAAGCATTCATATTGTACCCCAAGACAAACAATAAGTAGGCGCCATTGTCTAAAATAATGTTTATTCTGTATAAAAATTCTGATCAAATAATATAAGGAAGAAAGGGTGATTTGTACAGGCTTAACTAGCAATATTTAGTATCCAGCTATTAGGCCTACAAGAGTTTACAGCCAAAACATAACATGCACTTTCCACAAAAATAAAACATTAAACTTTCAAATACTCATTATACTATGCCCATCATGCTGAATGTGTCTGTAAAATAAAAAAAAATGCAGCTTAGCTATCAATTGAAATCAAAAATATATATCAAAGCATTTATTACATAAGTGTACAGTGTTGAAAATAGATATCACAATCATAATATAACCAAGTGGTGACATGCGCTTGCTTCTCAGAACCAGAACTCAGAGACAAAGACGTGAACATTGATGACATGGTGGCTGCTCTCGCCCTGGGAGCTGAGGTTGCGCATGAGCAGCTTGAGGACGGTGGACATCGGACCAATCAGAGGCTTCACCAGCCGCACCACACCTGCAGCAGAGGGACAAACATGAGGGACAGGTACCAACTCTGACAACAACAAGAGAGTTCAGAAATATATACATGCTAAAAAAATTGTGCTCAGTCCTGCAAAGATAGGTGTATGTCTGGTAAATTAGCAGAGAAAAAAGAGCAAGAACTTGATAAAAAAAAAAAAAAAAAAAGTTCTGTAAGTAAGGATTAAACAACTCAGAGCAGCGCATTGCACTTCGTTGCATGTCGTGGTGTTCTACACTTTGTGAGTGTATTAAAACAGTGTAACGCACTGCTCTGAACTGTTTAATCTGCTTAAACTATGGTCCCACTCACTGAAAATATACAAATATTTAAAATATTTAGTTTTAAATTGTTTGAATTTGAATTTATTTGTTTGGAGGATAAGCCCCTTGAGATGTGTCACCATCTCGTTTTCAAGGCTGTCCTCATAAATAAATACAACAACAAAAGACAGATACAGTAGGGCAGACAGTAGGAGACATAAATTCAAATAAGCATCAAAACAACAAAATCAACACAACCACAAACACAACAATAATAATAACAATAATAATAGACAGAGTTCAAAGATAATCACAGGATACAACAAGATAAACAACAAAATTCAACAAAATAATCAAAAACAATGACATGGGTTATGTAAATGTTGAACCAGAGCATTTTTAAATAAAGGGACAGAAGTTAAAGCACGAATCGATGAGGGAAGATTGTTCCAATCAGAAGGAGCTTTATATTTAAATGAGTATTTTCCTATTTGTTTTTTGACTCTTGGGACAACAAAAAATATCTGATCTGCATGACGTAAACTATAAGAGGATCTGAATGGAATTAAATACTGTTTAAGATATTCAGGATAACTGAGATTTAAAAATAAATAATAACCAGTGAAGTTGACGTCGGGAGGACAGATTAAGCCAGGACAGTTGGTGATACATTGTACAGTGGTGAGTTCTGAAGGGACAGTGGAGAATGAATCTGCACAGACTTTTGTAGATAACATTGAGTGGTTGGAGAATAGAAGTTGTAGTATTTTGATAAATGATATCGCAGTAATCTAAAATGGGAAAAATTTGTTGTGAAATAATCTTTTTCCTAACAGAAAAGCTAAAACAACTGATGGACTGATAAAGTAATTTTAAGCGATATGGAATTTTGTTTGTAATAGTTTGTATGTGGGCGCTGAATGAGAGCGACGGGTCAAGCCATAAGCCAAGATATTTAAATTTATCAACTGCTATAATTGGTGATGAATCGGTAAATGTCAAATTTATATCATTAACAGAAAAAGGACGGATTTGTTTCTGGAACAACATGAAATAAGATTTAGATTTATTAAGTAGAAGTTTGTTATACTGTAGCCATAATTGAACAGTATTAAAATCATGTTGAATTGAGGACTGAATATCAGTAATATTAGATTTAGATGAATAAATAACTGTATCATCAGCGTAGAGTTGAATATCACAGGCTGTGCACGCAAGGGGAAGGTCGTTAATAAAAATAGAAAATAAAAGGGGACCCAGTGAGGAACCTTGAGGCACGCTTCTCTCTATTATGGAGAAATTTGAAAAGCTGCCTTTAAAGAAAACACAATTGTTGGCAGTGATGAAGATATGAATTGAACCAAAGGAGAGCGGACCTGTCAAGGCCTATAGAATGAAGCTTGTCCAGTAAAAGATAATGGTCGACCATATCAAAAGCTTTTGTGAGGTCAATAAATAAGGCACCAGTGAGCATATTATTGTCAAAACCTGAAAAAATATCATTGGTAAATTTTAGTAAAGTAGTTGTTGAAAAAATACTTTCTAAAACCAGACTGAAATGGAGATAGAAGATTATTTTTCGATAAATATTTGGACAGTTGATTAAAAATAAATTTCTCATAGACTTTAACAATGCTATTGATAATTGAGATTGGTCTATAATTATTAAGTTTGCTGGGGTCACTCCCTTTATGGAGAGGTATAACCTTTACACATGTCCATGCAGATGGAACCTCACAGGATCTAAAAGACAGGTTGAACAGATCAGCCAAAGGGTAACAAAGAACATGGGTCGCAAATTTAATAAACTTGGCTTCAATGCCATCTGGACCAGCACTACCATGCAAAGAGAGCCCATTTATGGCTTGGTGCACATCAGCCGGGCTGACCATTCCAAAGGAGAAAGAGCTGCCAGTGGTCATCACATTGTTAAAAAATACAGAATGAGGAGGAGACTGCACAGGAGGTGTTGATGAAAAATGCTGACTAAAGGCATTTGCAATAACATTGGGATCAGTAGTATTTTCATTATTAATAAGCATATTAACAGGAGCACATTCAGATTTTCCCAATAAGTCATTCATTTGTTTCCAAAATTGTTTTGGATTATTAACATTATTTGTCAAAATGTCCTTATGATAGTTGCTCTAGCATTTCGAGTTTGCGTAGTACAGATGTTTCTTAAGCTCCTGTACTTCTCCCAGTCAGCAACAGTCCGAGTGTGACGGTATTTAGCCCATGCTTTATCCCTTTGTCTGAATAGGCTGATCAGTTCCCCATTGACCCAGGGTAAATGTTTACCTCTGACTCTGATCACTGTCAAAGGTGCATGTTTGTTAATAACATTTAACAGCTCAGTGGAAAAATAATCCCAAGCTTCATTTATAAATGGTATTAAATTAAGTCTATTCCAGTTAATATTTAGCACATCATCAATAAAGTTATCAATATTGAATAATTTAGTTTGACGGACTTTGATTAATTTTGGAGGACGATGAGGAGTTTTAATTTTCTAGATACAATATATGATGCAGTGATCACTAAAGCAATCTGATAGAACACCGGATTCACCGGTTCTTAAATTTGAATTGTTGCAAGATTTGCATCATTCTGAAACCCATGCCCACCCATTTGTCTTTATTAATTAAGGTTAAGGTACACTTTATTGGCCCCATAGGCAAATTCCTCTTCTGCATTTGACCCATCCTCCAATGCTGTTGAGACAATCTGTCAGAAGCTGTGGGTGCTACAGTGCAGCGCACAGGGACCCATCTCCAGATCTTCTTCCAGGTCAGGACTATCTGATCTTATAGACTACATCCTTGAGTACTGCTAAATTCTCAGTCCCATTTGCCTTGTTGTCACTCCTGTTTGGGGCCTCCAAAAAGTCCATGGCTAAATCAAATCAGCTCAATCACAGCATTAAATGATGTTTTGGTTAAAAGGCTAAAGTTGAGTCAGGAGTTTCAGTAAACCGTCTAATGATGACTTTAGTTCTGTCCGGGACTTGATTACTCCATGTCTGCCTCTGCAGTGGAGTTGTGCTTCAGGCTCTGATTCAACATTGAGAAAATGACAAAGCAGTCCCTCCATGTCTCTGAGTTATGAGGCTCTGGTGTGGTCCTTATAACAAAGCAGTAAAACCCTTTGATGGACCATAATGAGGCATCCCCTGTGTCTTGTGTATGGCAGCAGATCTCCAGATGAATTCTCCTCTTCTCTTTCTCTCTCTCTCTCTCTCTCCTCCCTCTCCTCTCTTCCTCGGGGGCCTGGTGTTGTGGCACTGTGTCTGTGGCCCACCAGGCTAAATGAGTCCCATGTGTTTGATGGAGGGGAGCTGGTGCAGTCACGCGATACAGGGAAAGAGGCATTTCTCCAGGAATCCATCTTTAACTCTGGGAGGGACCAGTCATCTGAGCCCCTTCTACTCTCTGTCACTGTTTTGCCCTCGTTTCATCTCATCTGTAGATTCCAGGAGATTTTGTCGATAACTTCAGTAATAGTGAAAAGTAGGCTCACTCTGTCACAGTTGTCCCTTGTTGTTTGGATGTTTTGGGGCCCTGTTGCGTAGTGACAATAGTTGGAATTGGGGGACTGCAGTTTTATTGTTTCCGAAGCGCCATCAGAAAGACCTATTACTTCCTCATGCCAAACAACAGACATCGCATCAGTAGAAAGAGGTGGAAAAACTCATTTAGTTTGTTGAGAGCTTAGGATCAAATATTGAAGCAGTGTGAAAGTCTCTAAGTCTTTAATCTATTTAATTGGTGTCACAAGCCAGTGCACTTGTTGGGCCAGTTCCAAGCCCACATAAAAGGAGAGAGAGTCAGAAGCATGTTGGACGGTAAAATATAGAGAGCTACAAATTTGTAGTGAAATAGTTGTTTGTAATCAGGAAAAAAAGTGAAGAAACAGAAAAAAAGTCAAGAGTAGAACGTGTGGTTTCATCTAAATGATTATTTTAAAAAGGGCCAAACTGAACTTTTGGGTCAAATGTTACAATTCTTTCACAATGCAATACATGACCATCAACCAAGACATTCATGGGCAAGTTTGAACAATTATATTAAAGAAACACTGTGTAACTTTCTACAGATAGAAATATAAAGTTTAAACCACACTGCAGAATATTTTCAATGGAGATAGATAAGTTTTTCATTCTGTGCTATATTATAATATAACAAGATTTCCATAGAGACAGTCAGGTGGAGGCCCTCCTCCAGGTCAAGTAAGAGTCAAAAGTAGCAAACACTGTCACTGACATCTGTCTTTAACAGGGCCGACGGTATAGAAAGAACATCTTGCAGTCAAAGTGGTGGGTCCTGAAATTGAAAAGAAACAATTTTGACAGTTGAATAAATACAATTTTCAAGCCGCTCATCAAAACAGAGCAATATGTGGAATGTGTCGGAACTGTTAGTGATTTGTACATTTTGTTTGTGTGGGAGGCGTAATGGCAGTTTGGCTGAATTTATTTTTCTAAATTGAAAATTTTGCTGAAAGCTGAGTGTTTAGTGTTCTTTTGTTATACCACACAATTGACAGTTTCAGAGTTGTCAGTCAGCGACCTGCTGTGTTGGAAGTGGAGACAGATTTGGGCGTAAATTCTATGGAAAACAGTTGATCTCTGGCAGCAAGATGTAGAGTCAAGGAACATCTGGAAGAGGCAAAGACTATACAGCTGCACTATTCAAAAGTTTGCAGATATTTATATTTGTTAGTGTTTCTCAA